TTTATTTTATATAATGAAATAAAATTAAAATCAAAAAGACAATAGAATAATACTTTCGATTTTTGATTGACATAAAGCATATTCGAAAATAGAAAAGAAAACAAAAATTGTTTCCTTCCGTCTCTCTTTTCTTTTTTTTTTGATAAAGATTTATTACATGATCTTATAATAAGTGTACTATTCCTTTTTTTTGACAACGATCATCAATCAGACTAAAGCTTTCTAAAATATAATAACAAAGGTTAATGGGCATAATTCATAACTGTTAAGTTATGACAGTCGATGATTATAGAATTCAGCTATTTTCATAAACCAATCTTATTACATGAGATTCATTAGAACTAAAAGCATACCACATATTGATATTGTTACAACTTCCGTCACAACACGAATCATATAAAAACAGTATGTTGTCTAAATTTCATTTCATTAAAATACTGCAACAAAAAAAAAAAGAGAAGATGCTAATTATAGGTAATATATTTCAATCTATTGAATATAGAAAAAAAAAACAGTATGAGATCATAATTATCATCAATGAAGTATTGTTAATAATATGTCAAAAATGGTGTAATAATTTCTTTTTTTTGCAAGATACATTTTATGTTCTACATAGATAATATGAAAAGATGTAACATGACGAGATGATAATGTATCCAACTGCGACTCTACAGGATTCTCATATAATTCACTCCATTCATCTTATGATTTTAAAACACATCTCATCTTTTTGTTTTTTTTTGAAGTCAGTTAAATATAGTAATGGCATGCCGAAAAAAAATCAGTTAAATGTTAAAAAACTGGATAGAAGTTCATTGAGAATTTTTCAATCAGTACATTTTATTTTCTTGTTTTCAGTTATTATATTCTTTAATATATCATGCTCTATAAGAAATTTTTACACTGATAACTACACAATTTCCTAATTAGTCATCATCTTATTTTATGTTCATTTTTCAATATACATCATTACCTGATTATACTATTTGATAATACAATGTAGTTTGTAATTATATTGAAAATTAAATTCATTGAATACGAATATACAGCATATAATCACAATTCTTTCGCGCCCTCTCTCTCTCTCTTATAATTAGACTCTTGATTAGAAGTTTGTCAGGACTAAGATTAAAAGAAAAAAAGAATTATGAATGAATATTCTATGGTTTTACGTCAATCATCTTAATCAGAACGTGATGTAAGAGAGATGGGCATGTGCCTGAAAAAACTAAAACTATAGGGACTAGGACTAATGCCCATTTCAGACAAAAAGGCGGGTGGAAATGTTTTTGAATAACTTTTAAACAGATGGAGCTAGAGAGTTACGATTTTCATCATTGGAAAAACTGAAGATGAAAATGCATCGAACCATATATGAAAATATTTTTCTGACTACTTTCCTAACAATTTTCTATAAAGCTTCTAGAAAAATAATATGTCACTCATAGTCGCGATATTTATTTATTGGTTTTTCAGAAGTGTGTTAGAACCACCAGATGAAGAACTACAAAAACTATATAAAAATTCTATTCCTAACCACTACCAGTAAGATATCCCTAGTCATTAGAGTGCAATTTACCATCCAGTTTTTTCCAAGAAAATAATCAAAAAATTTAAGTTTTTGTAATTTACGAAAAA